CCAGCTCTCCCTGGAGCGCGCCTTCCAGGGGCCTGCCACCCGCGACGAGTTTCTCCAATTAACCAGAATTTCCCGGAGACCGAAATCTGCGTGGCCCAGTCTTTGTCGGGAAGATGAAATGCGTGAATATGCGCGCTATTCTTCTCCCACAGGCATGATTTTAATAGACCTATCAGTCACGCTACCCGACACGCATCTGCAGAACAGGCGCGCAGTCCCCGCTACTGGTTTTAAGATTAATTCATTTCTAGCTACTGGTGGGTTTCTTTGGCGGGAGGTGATTCAAAGTCCTAACAACAATTACAGGGGCCAAATGGTTGGGTTTTTTTGTTTGTTTGTTTTTAAGATGAGGTGGTGTAGAGGGGGTTAAGAGACAAGCGGAAAAACCCTCGAGCAAAGCCTGCTACCCTCAGCTAAGAGAGCCCGGCTGCGCGCAAAGGCCTGTCTACGAAGAATTCCCGAAGTTGTCCCCGCTGGAAGTTATGCAAACTTCGTAAAGGCCCCCTAAATAGTCCGGTCCGCGCTCTCCACACGGGTTTCAAACAAAATGGAAATACCATCCCACGATTTAGGAAGTGACTGAAGCCATCATATAATAATTACCATCCGATAATATTTCATGAATATGATGTGGAGCACCTTGGCAAGAACTCAATTCATAGTTTGGTTCTGTAGTGGAATAAATCCGTGAATTTAAATGGGAGAAACAATGCGGGCCTGATGGGATCTCTTCCTGAGAGAGGAATCCTAGCCAATCTCTCTCCTCTCCCACCCCACCCCCATCCCATATTGTTTTTAAATGAAGTCATTAAAGAATCTGTTTTTCTCCTTGTCCTTCTAGCCAAACAAATTCGCTGCAGTTTAGGGATTCTTATTTTAAGTCCTTTCTGGGGTTTTTAACAAGTGACTTGGGGTACCTGGCATTGAATGTTTCAGCTGACTATGTATGAGGCACATACAGAAAAATGCCAAACTCTAAATCCATCTTCTGGGAAACCAACAGACAGGTCTGCCTGGAGTCCCCAGCAGACTGCGCAACCTTTATAGTCTCAAACATTTCAAGTGTGACCCACATTACTAAGAGGTGTGATGAGCTAAGACTTAGATGCCAATAGTTGAGAATAGATATAAACTTGGGCATACACTTATGTGAACACGGCCACACATCTGTCTGCCACTTTAGTAAGTGCAGGGAGAGGTTTCTAGCTTGGGAGTTAGCAAAAGAACTAGGGAGTCCATTTAATTCTGCGAATATCAGAGTAAATGAGGTCTGGCCCTTATGTGGGCTGGTGAGTTAACAGAGCATTACAGAATTTCCCAAAGCTTCTCTCCCAGAGGGGACTGTGTGTGGCATTTATTCCCAGATCTCATGATGCTGTTCTGCTTAGCAACCCACATATATCCAAACACTTTTAGGAGCCACTGTTTCACAAAGGATCAGATTTTTTTCCTGCTAAGGCAGGAAAAAAAAAAAAAAAAGAAAGGAGGGGCGCTTTATAATCTTGTTTGGAAGAAGCAGTCGACATTTTTTTTTTTTTTGGAAATTTTTGCAGTCACTTTAAGAAATGGGTGGTTTAAGTAAAAGTATCAAAATGACTCCAAAAAATTACACGTCAATTGTCAGGTTAGCATTTTACTTAAAGCTATTCTTTAATGCAGGTTGAATGTGGCTCTCATTAACCCACCAAGATAGGCCCATTTTTGGAAGGATAGTCTGTACTCATTCCAGGATAAGAAAAGATTTTGAGAAAATGAGGGGGTTGAAGAAATCAACATATTTTGATCTGGGTTAAAGGTTTCTTTTTTCAAAATATAATTTCACTTTTATGTTGTGACTAATTTCAAAACGTATTTGCTACAGTATAACTTTTAAATTCAATATTTAATGCTGTCAGATTACTTGAAGACAAAGTTTTACAGAAAACTTTAAATTCCAGAAAAAAACTTCAATGTACCAATAAACACCTAGAAAAAAATATAACTAAAAATTTTAAAGCGTTAACCAACCTTAGATCTGGTCAGAAATAATAAACACCGCATTTTGCATTCACATCGGTTAGCAACTTGTATCCCAGTTCACTGGGGTAAAAAAAGGGGGGAGAGAGTGGCCAATTTTGTGTCTGTGTGCGAAAATCCAACAAAATTATTCTGCTCTTTCTCAAGGAGAAATAAGCCAGAGGGAGAGATGGAGGGGGCTTGGTTACAGTACATTTTGGTTCAGAGATTGTGTTTCCTTGAGCCAAATCTAGATAAATTCCACCTGCAATCTTGTTAATTGCGGGGAAATTGCGGCCCTCGTGCCCCTGCAGTGGTCTTTTGTCATCCAACCTTGGCCTGGTCCCGCCATTGGGCTCTTCTCTCCTGGGGGCAGGGGTCTGGGGCCGGCCAGAGGATGCAAAGCCCACAGGAAGGAATCAAAAAATCCCGCAGTGTCGGCCCAAAGATACAAACACACCGAAGGGCCGGAGTATATAACGACTTTTTTTCTTGTAATTATTTCCCATTCTGTATTAACACTGTAAATGCTACAAAATAATCTATTGGTTTTAACTTCCTTCCCTTCCACTGAACGAAGCTCCGTAAAAATCGCACCCTCTCCCCTGGGTTTCCCTTCACTCTTAAACCATGCTGATCATTTCTCCTTCGTCAGACTTACTAATTGTATTTGGAGCCCGTAAAACATGCATATACAATTAGCACGTTTCAAATTTATGGGAAGAACCGAGTTTTTTTTTTTTCCTCTCTTAAATTTATTGACTCGATGCGTTTTTAAAGAGGGGTTATCTTTTTCGTTTTTTACTAGAAAGGCTTTTTAGGAAACTATGTACATAATCTGAATACCCCTCCCCACGCTGAAACGCCAAAATTAAAATTTCACAATGCATTTACAAGAAATAATTACAAAACAAAAAAAAATGGAAAAGCTCAGATACAGAAAAGTTTTACAAAAACTCAGAATATAACGCTGCCATCAGAAAGGGGGTGGGGGCATCTCTTTGTATAAATTAACAAACCAACCCAAGAGTGGTAACAGCTACGAAAAAACTGTGTTTGGATCTGCCTTACTACACCAATAACAAATGCGAACAGCTCCCGGGCGACCAAAGGCCAGCAGGAAGCGAGGCAGGACGAGCGTGAGCGCGCCGGCGGGATAGAAAAGTTGGAGTCGCCTCTTGCTTGGCTCGGTCTTTGTGTCCCCTCCAGCAAAGAAACGCTTCCAGCCTCTGTGGGTGATAAATACTGTACAAAAAGTCTCAAGAAAACACCAAGTTCAGTCTAAAACGCACGACTGTGTCCGCGCCTAGCCGTTCCCAGAAGCTCCCAGACCGGCGAGAGGGGGGACAGGGGGTGGTGTCACCTAGTGTTCGTCGCCAGTGTTTCTCTGGAAGGAAAGAAGGTGGAAACGTCTGCCCAAAAGCAAGGCCGCGCGGGGCCAGGCCGGGCACCTCGGTCTGG